TATCCGTGCGTAGGAATTCACTGAATATCATGAAAAATTATGTTCTTAAGGAGGACATTTGCCAGTCACGGATATTATAGGGGTCAAGACCCCCTAATTATGCTGCTGTCCCTTCAACATGCAGGGAGCATTCAGTGAAACAATTCGCTTGACAACCTGGATCAGAATCTTTTGAAAGTGATGGACGTAGGAGTAATGCTCAATTAGGCGAGTTTGTGCAGCTGCTAACATTCAGGAAAACGCCACAGATGCAACAAGCTGCAGGAAGGTAACATTTTAAAGTAGGGAGGAATGGTGTTATAAACTTATTCCACAAGCAGCCTGGGGGAAAAAAAGCTTAAATTGATCTTGGAACCTGTGTAACTGCAAAAGGGTTTTCAAAAGTAGGTACCTTGTTCGTCCGATTCATTAAGAAATACAAAAGACATATTTTCAACATCAAAGTTTTCAGCGTCTCTCCTTGATTGTGCGTGGGCCTGCAATGGTTCCTCAAAAATGTCTTCGTCACTGCATCCTGCAGCCACTTTTGTCTTCTTCTATTGAATAACAGAAATGGAAAAGGGCATTAGAAAATGAAGTGAAAACAGTGGTTCGTTGATCAGCAGTGACAGCATGGAGGAGAGTTATATGTTCTGACAAGAGTTTTTCGTCATAAGGAATAATGTCGATTATGATCTGGCTTTTCTCATTGAGACTTATGCAGTAAAACACAAGTCTCCGTTTCAAATGAACCAACAAACTTCTTACTTCTTGGATATAGAGGCTGTTACTTCCTTCTGCTTCTCAATGATCTTAAGGTTTCCGACTGCAAACGGATTGCTTCAGAAATTAATCAGAAACAATTTTCATCACCACACATATTATTCTTCAAATTACATTCTTAATTAAGGGCAGGGAAATTTCTAAGTTCTCTTCACCAATTTTTTTGCTCTTCTTTTAAGTGCTTTTATACAAAATTGATTGTTAAGTACACTATTTGAAAATAGGGTAGGGCAGGAAGCAGGAAAATGTGTTCCGTACAAGATAAATGTACTTACAATAGGTTGACGGAGACCGATTTCCTCTTCTTCGTCTTGGCCGACCCAGTCATCACCGCCACAAAGTCTGAATAGAATTTCTTCTTCCTGCGTCAGAGGAGGTATGGGTCTACCTTTGTCATCTTTTGGAGCTTTACCACCGGTCTTCAGCCTAGCTCGCTTAATATCGCCTGCTTTCTGCTTGATTCTCTTCTTGAGATCATGCCAAGTCTGTAAACCAGATACGAAATTTACAGGAAAAAGCGACACATTTGATATTATCTTATGATGTTATTCGTACAGGTACTGAAGGTTTGCACAGCCAATGCTTTAATATTAATTTTAATGTCAGTCCTGCATCAACATAAAAAAGTATTCAGGGTAAAATTGCTTTCGGCCTAGCCATTTTTCGGAAGAATGAGGAAATTCTTGTACCAACATCATTCACAACATGCCAACTACACTTACTAAAAGCATGTAAACTGTTGCTGTAGGTACAACAGATATTGCATCAGTGACAGCTATGCTGTTCTACATTTTGATCTTACCTCAACTAAGCCCACGCCAAGCAAGTATACACAGTTTTAGAGAGAGTAAAAGAAGATCAGGTCTTCAGTTTAGCATTGAGAGCACTGGCCACCCTCCAAATAGACGTAAATATAATTGACATGAACTCCATTAAGTACGCTGCGACCACCCGTATTCAGCTGAAGTTCAGCTGAAGCTATCCAACCCGTCCTGGGTAATTTCAGCAGGGAATACTGACTCCACAGTTTGTCCAACGGGTCGTGTAATTTGTGGAACGGGTCAAATACTGAACTTCACCCCGGTCTTCTTGTCACTGGTAATTCTAAGGAAGCACACGTTTAATGCCAAAGAATTATCCGATAAATAGAAAAATAAACACTGAGACTTACCTGCTTCCACGCTGCAGGAGATCTAGCTGCAGGGCCAATTGCATTCAAGGCCTCAGCCAATTTTCGCCACATGCGATCGGCACCTTCCTTGCCTTTGTTTCCAGGGCACAGGCCAGTTTTCGCAAAAATATCATGGGATTGCATATATTTTATAAGGTGTGACCTTTGAGCTTGAGAAGCTCTTGTCCTTGTCTTCTTTTGCGGCGCTGCTGATGCCGGCACTGGGTCCACGGTATCCTCCTCGCCGTCGGATGCTAAGCTAGAGCTTGTACTCATTTCAAATTTTAAATTTCAAAATCCACCGAACAGAAACACCATAAAAGAAAAAAACTAATACACTCAAACTCAAACCACGTTTTCCCCGTAAGCCTGTAAGCACGTTTGAAGGTTATGTTTCGGTTTTGATGATGACGTTTTCACGGGTAACCTCACTTACGCTGCAGACATAGAAGGAAGGGCTGTGATTGGTTGAAACGAAAAATGTAATTTAATTGCAATCATGCAACACCGCGAACCGTATCCATCGTTCCTCTAGATATACTTATCCATCTAGAGCTCATCTACCGCACTAGATACGAGGTAAATGGTCGGCAGCTTACGGAGCGATAGATCACCAATAGATAAATATCCCGTATCCACTACCCGTATCTAGAGAAGTAAATGATCAAGCTGCCGGTGGCCGCATTTCGTGGCTAAAGACGCGCATGTCGTAAGGTCGTGACGTCACTACGTAGGTACACTAATACTGCTGTGCTAAGGAAGAACGCCGTATGAGCCTTCAGGAGTTGGCAAATTTTCTTTAATAAAATACGAGTTTGGTAGAGGTCTGGTGAATATTTTTGGTGAGGTCCTGTCTCGGATTCACCGAGAAACGCTAAGAAACGCTCTCTAGAATTTAAAATTTTCAGGGGAGCCCCCCTCCCCCCCGCAACCTTCCCTCAAGGATGGGGCGACGCCAACATCCTTGCCTCAGGTGCTGAAAGTTCACGTCATAACATTCACTGAAAAAACGAGATTAGGGCTGGGCCCTAGACTTGCTTCACCTCCACCGCCACAGGGGCAGGCCCTGCGCGGGTAAGGCCCAGCCCTACCTGGACAGGGTCTAGCTCTTGACAGGTAGGGCTGAACCCTGAAGCAGGTAGATTTGGGCTCTACGCGCGCCGGGCCTGCCCCTATGGCGGTGGAGGTGAAGCAATTTTACCTACCCGGTTAGGGCTGGGACCTTCGGTGCAGGTACCAGCCCTAAACTCGTTTTTTCCGTGTTGGATATATCGAATTAGTTCCATTCAATAGCAGATAAATTTTCAATTTTTACTCCATGGATCTCATCTTATCCTCGTGTCTCTCTCCTCTCCAAAGTTTACCCTGCTTTCTAAGAGGAGAAGACAACAAGCTCAAAATAGCCGAAGGTTTAAAGGTACATGACACGGAAAAAACAAGACTAGTGTTGAGCACTACTGGCCGTTTAGTGGGGAGTAGTTGAGGGCTGGCGTCTAAGCGCTGTACAGCTCAACACCGGAAGGCAGTACAGGTGGGCACTGAACATGAGTAGTGCTAATCAGATGCCGCGAGACGTAGTTGCGCTTAACAGGTGTAAATTCACCCTGGAGATGTCGGAGTCACCATAGCCTGGTGGTAACGCGCTGGTCTTCCACCGGCGCAATCCGAGTTCGATCCCAGGTGGAGGCTTTTCATATTTTACGCTCGCTCCAAAGTCACTTTAGGGCTTGACACTACTTCTTCCTTAGTGACCCAGCCTCGAGCTGTTAAGTGCCCAGCACTCCTCTGACTTGGTGGCTCCATTTGACCTAACCCTCGTTAGTGTCCAGCACTAACATGTAGGTCCCAACCCTAAGCTCGTTTTTTCCGTGGAGTATTTATTCAGGCATGTTAATTCTGGGCAATTGGTGAATTTGGGGTAATTGGCAGGAAATTCAGGAGGCTTCGTTGCACTGAGGGTTGACCCAACGAGGCTGAAACGCGTCTGCAGTTGCCTTCCTGAATGATCGTTACAAGTGTTGCGCCAAACAGCGTGTCTCTTTGAGGAAAAATGTTGCTCATACGAGCTTTTTCCCTCTGTTTTGAGATTTTCAGCTTCATGCTGATTTTTAAAAAATTCCAACTTACTGCCATTACGATCCTTGCGTCTACCGTAATCAGTTTGTGAGGTTAATTCTCCTCCGAGTGTGAACATCGAACATTCAAATTATTTCTGATGTTTTCAATTTTTCATCGCGGGTTCGGAAGTAATGCTTTTTGGCAACAGTTTCCAGTCCGTTCCTCTGAAAGGGGCGACGAGGAGCTCAAAATGGCATTCCAATGAATCCCTCTCAGAACGAGTGCGATGTGGACGTGACTCCGGTTGACCCTCGAATCTTAGTCCGTCGGCTACTCCGTGTCAGTTTCAACAGACACAGTTGGACTGCATTTTGCAATTTGGAACTATAAATTCTGGCACATCTGAAAAAACACTTATGTGCATAGGGAAACTAATGGCACATACGTTGTTTTAAAACTGGGCCGGAATTTATAGGTCCAAATTGCAAAATGTAGTCCAATTAAAGCCCATCGTCTTTATCTCGAAAACCAGTTGTAGTGAAGAGTGGCGATGCGTGAAGGATCGATTATCGATATTTCCCCATTTGAAGCTGTGGTGAAAAATCGATTATTAAGGTGTTCGTTGCGAACGCATAGTAACGCTCTATGACGCACAGAGAATTTTAACTATTGAGCCCGAGTGGCTATCTTGGATGAAGAATAATTGTCGCTCTCGCACTTTTCATGGGAAATACGAGGTTCCACCTAGCCTTCTATTCTTAAATGTTAGTATTTTCCGATAGCGACCTTTTGAACCGAAGTAATTGTTACCACAAACGTATATGATTGTAGTAACTACGGCTAGAAAAGTAGGTAGAACCTGAAATCTACTGTGAGCATTGTTAAGAGCTAAAATACTTTTTTCTTCGTTTATTACTTACAAAGACATATGTGTATCGAGTTTTCAGAGAATATTCGTGAAAGAACCCTTGAAAATCCAACAAAATGTCGTGTAATAACGGACATTTGTCCGTTATTAGCTTTTTATATAAAAAGCTAAAGTATGGAAAGAAATCTTCAACATCGCAAACCGACATCCGTAGTTTTGTGGTCTAGCTATTGACATTAATCGAAATATTATTCAAAATTTTGTACACGAACTTACGGTGATTACATATGATTGGCGGCTTCTTTTAAAGTTTTCTTTTGACGAGGTAATGCCTCAGTCGATGTGTTTTGACGCAAGCCGCAGTTGAAAAGATTGAAATGAACCCAAAATAGCCTCCCATACTCGTGTTCCGGCGTCGAGAGATCCGCTTATTTAACTGCAAACGGAACCGAGACTCATTAGCCACCGAATGTTGCCGAGTAGTCACAACAAATTAAATGGATCACACTCATAAACATCGCGCTGATCATGAAACCGTCGAGTAACTTTAAGTCGCAATAACGACAAAAACACCTCTTGTTACTTTCCAGTCAATAGTTTCCAGGGTTGCAATTTTTCTTGAAAAGTTAAATCTTGAAATTTCATGTGAAATATTTCTCGAAATTTCAGAAAAATATGAAAAATATTGAAAAATATTTTTCGAAATTAAATGCAAAATTAAATGAAAGGCGGCTGTTTTTTGCTTTTTGGTGTTTTTTAGTGTTTGTTGCATACCTTGCCCCTGAAAGTATGTTTCATATTTTTTTCACAACTTCGTGAAATTTCAAGAAAGATTTCACGGAAATTTTCAATTTTTCATATTTTTCATTTCACCCGTGCAACCTTGATAGTTTCCCGAAATCTAGAGCTAACAAAATACGAATATAGGGGATATGGAGATTTCGCAATGAAACACTAGACAAGGCGCGATGTAAAGTATCATGCGTATGTTTCCTTATTAAAATTGCACGTAGAATATGATTTGTGCAACGAGATTTACTGAAAGTGACTCTTTACCGAGATATTGACGTTTTTTCATGCATAAATTCAAACTTTCCGCCCATAGAAGAAACAATTATTCGCACTATAAATGTTACCGTGACAGTCACTGCGGCATGAAAATATGACGACCTCAATTTCGGTGCTAGCTTTGGCTGTTGTAGACACAAAGAATTGAAGGCGCTCTTTCATATTGGATCCTCGGAATATTGCCGTTCCGCGCACGCCGCGGATGAAGAAGTGAGTGACTGGAGAGTCAAATCGCCTTCCCTTCCGTGCGTATGCAACACGGACATCCATGGAGCCCGAATAGTTGCATCCACGCCATTTCCAGGCGTTATGATGAAATTCGTTTGATATCCGTCTCTTGCGACACTAACTGAAACTTGGACTGTCTCTCTTACACCCTCTCTTAATTGCAGCGTTGCCCTATTGTACCAATAAAGTGGACCTGAAAACCAATACTAATTTTTATCACGACATTGTCAATTTTACAAGAAATGCATTATTTAAATGTTTAATAACGTTGCCAGCCCTCAAAATCGTTAAAAGAATACTATGTACTGAGCGTAATCGTAAAATTTCCTTCAACCTACTTTCAAGAGTCGTTCTTTGTTTGGATTTCTTTAATTTTTCCCTTTTGGGAAAACTAACTTTGAGGTTTGAGTGGGATATTTTAAAAGAACATTCCTTATGCATTGCACAGGATTCGGAATAATAACGCTGACCATTCGTCTTTCGAAAAAATTAAATGCGATAAGAAATCTATAACACCACAAGCCTGAATATACGTATATGATTACCTCCCTAGGTGCAATGGCGAGAATAGCATAATTCTGGCAAATATTGTTATGTACTGCTCTTTCTCTCGTGAAACGTTGACTGCGTCGGTTATAGGACATTTCGTCAACGATTTTTTGTCCGCGCACCTGTTTTTCCAGTAATTTACGTCCACGCGTTTTTTCGGCACGGGAGTTTTGGTCTACGAGCCAGTTGCGACCCAAAGTTAATTGGTCCACATGTAAATACAAACGACAATTGCTCACGACGTTTTTGGATGAAAATGTATAATGTCTTGGAAGAATGAGGGTTTCCTTGTTTTTTTTTTGTTTGTTCGTTTGTTTGGTGCAACGGAGAATAATATATAATTGAGATTTTTGGTAAAAGTGGGGGAGCGTCAATTCCATGCGATACAATTCACTAAAACTCTCTACACCTCTTTGGTGTAACGGGACTTAATTATCTTTCAAGAAATTCCCACCTTGTTATTCCTGAACCGGATGAGCCTCTTGACTTGCCTCAGCTAAAAGCTCTTAGATTTTTCCTGTGTACAATAAGTACATATCTTGATTTATTATGCGAGGAAAGATCTGGACTTTTAAAGAATGCCTATCATTCTTAATAGTTCAATTTCTTATAATACTGTGCAACACCTCT